CGATGGGCTGATAACAGCAGGTCCTCCCTGGGGATGCCAAGCCAGGACCGTCACAGGGCTATACCCGGCCGGCCCTCGACCAGCAGAGACATTGGCGACCCGTCTGATCCCCAGCTTGGACGGGTCCGCGGCCTTATTAAGACTAGGGATGAACTCATCTTCAGAGTCAACCGTCTCGTCCTCCTCCCCAGGCTTGGTCTCTGCCCAGTTCTGTCGGCCACTCATTTGAGTAAATCTGTCTCGAAGTCTGGACTCGTATTCCCGGACGGAAATCTTCTTCTCGTCGCGACTAGAGCGGAGCTTCTTGAGACGATTGTGGCTGGTCAGGTCCACCTCGGCCGTCGAGGTGGACGCGTCGTCATCCTCATCCACCTAGAACAGGAGTACCCCGACCAATTACAGAGGAGGGCCTACCCAAGCAGGCTTAGGCACAGCCGCAGTGTCGGTCTTGCTATCCTCAGGCCTGAGACACAGAAAAGGGATTCTATACGACCATTGTCGTTTCTTTCGGCACAAACTCGACCACGCTAGAAGCCAACCGCCAGAACCGGTCAGAGTAAAGATCTAGACGACAAGCGAGTCCCTGATCGGCCCCTATGGGCGATAGTGTCCGACCCTCACTACCTTTCCCTTTTCGACATGGTGCAGTTGTAATCGATTGGATGGGCGCGCGCAGTTCACTACGGAGGGGAACTGAACGCAAGCGCATCATCGATTGAAACTTTCCTTTATAGCGAGTAAGTCCATAGACACGTTCATCTACTCGAAAGGTGCTGGTTTCACGCCATCTGCTGATTAGACGTCTTGAACCGTCGCGAGCGCAGTCTTGACGCCGTTAAGGATACAAAGCATACATCAGATTACGGTCGGGGGGGCACTTGCGTCTATGCATGCAGTGCCGTGGTCTGTATTTTCGGTTATTCGAGGCCCTACTACTCTAGGAGTAATCACGTGGCTAATAAGGGACACATGGGCCTTCCTGGGAAGCCATTGAACCTGGGCTTCACGGCGAATACCCGATTTGCCTACCACTGTGTATGGCACTGACTGCATGCCATCAAGTCGCAGCTGATTGAACGGCTTGCGACCTTGAGCACCGTTTGAGAGTCCGTGAAGATCTAGCAGCTTCCGCAAGGTCTGTCGACACTTCCGTGATAAAGCGAACTGCCCGGATAACACCGGGCAGTTCACATTTCCTAATAGTAGCCTTCAACACGTGTAGATTTGATTGATAGTTTCCATTACCACATTCCATGAAATACACTTTTCTTCGAACATACTTTGTTGTGTACAAATCTAATACACGTCGCTCTAAACAAACATTCATTTCCCCACTGGGGCTCCTTAATTGCACGATTGATCATTTTATCTGCCTCGTCTTCACCTCAAACCGCGAACTACTAATTGCTGCAGGCCTACCCAACTTTAACCCTCATATATCTTGCAACACAGGTAACGAACAAAGTCTCACATCGATTACACTCCTAACACTTGCATCATGAAAGGCTCAAAGTCATGGATTGTATCCGAGTTGAGGCATGTGCAACAAGGAAAGTATTTACTATGTGGAGTATAGCATGCAAACGTCGCTCGTGGATTACAACATCTATCTAGTGTGAAATATGAAGGTACTTACTAATCTCTACTACAATCGCTATCACCACATAATCACCGACCTGATCACCCACAGTAGAACACAAGACATGGGCCAATTGTAACTGCTCATTAATCACATCTCAGGCACTAGACCGAGATAGGTACGTACGACAGAAGCAGATTACATAATGTTTGCTGCAACGCAATACTTGACAAAATTTACAGGCCGGCGGCCTTCTTCTCACGCTCGTAACGTTTCTTATCGTCAGCGGCTAACTTCTCATACGGCGCCTTCTCCTTCTCACCCAACTACGCAAGGACAACCATCACAAGCGGACCCAACAAGCTTCAACTTACTGCCTTCCAGGCCTCTCCCATCTTCCTCCCGAGCTCGCCAATATCCTTACTCTGGAGGCCGGTCTCTTTCATTATCCTCTCCCTATTCTTCTGCATGAAGAAAAAGTATCTGAGGTTGAAAGCGATCTCAAACGGAGTAGTATAGAACACTCGCCTTACGCGCTCAGACCTCTCTTGATCTTCGGTTTGCCATCGTCCTTCTTACTCTTGGACGCCTTCTTCACCTTAGTTGGTGTTGACTTCTTAGGGGAAGTCTTATTCGCGGCAACCATAAGTCAAAAGCGAACTAAGCACTAAGAA